TAGCGTCACACACACACGTGTCAACGTAGCTTCACACACGTCAACGTAGCGTCACACACACGTGTCAACGTAGCTTCACACACGTCAAGGTAGTGTCACACACGTCAACGTAGCGTCACACACACACGTGTCAACGTAGCTTCACACACGTCAACGTAGCGTCACACACACGTGTCAACGTAGCTTCACACACGTCAAGGTAGCGTCACACACGTCAAAGTAGCGTCACACACACGTGTCAACGTAGCTTCACACACGTCAACGTAGCGTCACACACGTCAACGTAGCGTCACACACACGTCAACGTAGCGTCACACACATCAACGTAGCGTCACACACACGTCAACGTAGCGTCACACACACGTGTCAACGTAGCTTCACACACGTCAACGTAGCGTCACACACGTCAACGTAGCGTCACACACACGTCAACGTAGCGTCACACACACGTGTCAACGTAGCTTCACACACGTCAACGTAGCGTCACACACGTCAACGTAACACCACACACATGGCAACGTAGCGTCACACACATGTCAACGTCGATTAATGCACATGACAATGTGCTGTCACACACCTGATAATGTTGATTCATACACCCGATAATGTGGTGTCACACACATGACAATGTGGTGTCACACACATCACATCCTTGGTTCACACACGACAGCCTTGGTTCACACACCTGACAATGTTGATTCACCAACGGGACAATGTGGTGTCATACACCAGACACACATACGACACCGTTGGTTCACACACCTGGCAATGTGGTGTCACACCCATGGCAACGTGGTGTCACACAGCTGACAATGTTGATTCACACACCTGACAATATGGTGTCATACACCTGCCAATGTGGTGTTATACACCTGACAATGTGGTGTCACACACCTGACAATGTGTCCATCCAACACTCTGCCCTCTCAAAAAGAGAGAGTCCGCGGCAAAATGAGAGAGACCGCAGTCTGAGGTTCAAAATTTTAGATATTGTAAAATAAAAAATATGGTAATACCGCGAGGCCGTGCTCTGGAACGAACTAGTCAGTATAGCAGATGCAGATCCTGCATATGTCAAATCAGAGAGTCAGACAGTAAATCAAGGAGTATTTGACTCCGGACTCCCGTTAATTTCGCACCATGATGTGGTGTCACACACCTGGCAATGTTGTATCACACGTATAATCTGGTTAAATGGTCATCAGCTAGGTGTGTCACCTACCACCTCATCAGACAGGTGTGTCACCTACCACCTCATCAGACAGGTGTGTCACCTACCACCTCATCAGACAGGTGTGTCACCTACCACCTCATCAGCCAGGTGTGTCATCTACCACCTCATCAGCCAGGTGTGTCACCTACCACCTCATCAGACAGGTCATGTCACCTACCACCTCATCAGACAGGTCATGTCACCTACCACCTCATCAGCCAAGTGTGTCACCTACCACCTCATCAGACAGGTGTGTCACCTAGCACCTCATCAGACAGGTATGTCACCTACCACCTCATCAGACAGGTGTGTCACCTACCACCTCATCAGCCAGGTCATGTCACCTACCACCTCATCAGACAGGTCATGTCACCTACCACCTCATCAGACAGGTCATGTCACCTACCACCTCATCAGACAGGTCATGTCACTTACTACCAATGACTCGTGACTACAACTCTTAGGTACCTAGTTGCAGTGCGTCTGCAAAGTCACTAATGTTCAACGAGTTCATACTCACAATTGCCAACATGCAGGTGTGTTCGTAGAAGGACAACAGATCAGCAGTTTATATGAAAGCTTGCTTTCCTGGCCACTAATTGGCGCAGGGTTTACATTTAACTAGATTTCTTGTTGTCAACACAAAGGGACAGCGCAACAGGCACCCGTCGTGTCATCATCAGGAGACAGAGGCAGGAGCTGGCGCGGCGTCACACTCGTCTCACCACAGGTGACGCGTGCAGCATCACGTTACATGTGTGACATGTGACGTAACAAGATGTACAGCAATGCGTGACACCACACGTGGTCGGTGTGACGTCACCGGGCAGGCAATCGATGTGCCATCACACGACAGACGGCCAGTGTGACGTCACAGTGATGTGTGCCATCAGATGGTAGGCAGGTCAGGGCGTGGATGGGGCGAGCGTGTGCACATCGATGAGGGGGGACCGGAAGAGACGACACCATTAAACAGTGCTGACATTCGGCGCTCCCATTTCTCACCCGTCCGACTGTCTGCTCGTAATCTCACGCCTGGTTCCAATCGCATGACTCTGTGATTCATGATTCTCATCGCCTTTCTGCGAGATTTGTCGCTCGAAGTACGCGTCGCGTTCGTCTGATCTACCGCCGCGCCAGCACACTATAGTAACAGCACTGTGTGGACTGTGGATGGCACCGTCACCTTTAGCTGTCCACCTAGTTCACTCTCCCTGCCGCCTCCCTGCCACCTCCCCTCCCCTCGAAGATTACACGACCTGTGTTCCCAATTCTCAGCTTCGAGATCACATCTTCTATTCCCCGACACGCGTACGAAAAACACTGGTTGTTTCTGCCCTTACGTTTCCCGCTCACCCTCAAGACTTTCCTCCGCCCCTTCTTCAGGGGGAGATCTACACAGCTCCTCCTTCTCCGATTCCCAGGTGAGATGAGATGTAAAGAGAAGGGGCACTTACCTGTCGAAGACATTGTCGCTGCTCGAGTATTTGCGAAGGTTCTCCAGCGGTGAGAGAGGCTCCTCCTCCTGTCCCTCCTCTCCGGCTGAGAGCTCGCCCTCTACTGAAACGAAACGGCGCGCCCGTGATGAGAACACGTCAACGTAGCGTCACACACACGCACTCCGTCTCCCACCCCTCACCCTCCTGTCTCCTCCCTCACCCTCCGGGTCCCCCTACCCCTCAACCCTTCCGGTCCCCCTACCCTCACCCTCCCGGTCCACCCACCCCTCAAACCTTCCGGTCCCCCTACCCTCAACCTTCCCGGTCCCCCCTCAATCGATTGCACAGACGCTCGCCCCATCCAAACGCCTGCACCTGCTACCATCTGAATGTGACACAATCACTGTGACGTCTAACTGGCCGTCTGTCGGTGATGGCACATCGATGCCTGCCCGGTGACGTCACACCGACCACGTGTGGTGTCCACGCCTTGCTGTCTCTGTTCGTCTGTCACACATGTAACGTGATGCTGCACGCGTCACCTGTGGTGAGACGAGTGTGACGCCGCCCAGCTCGTGTGCTCTGTCTCTGATGATGACACGACGGGTGCCTGTTGCCCCTCCCTTTGTGTTTGACAACAAAAAATCTAGTTAAATGTAAATCCTGCGCCTAATTAGTGCCAGAAACACAGCTTTCGATAATAAAACCGCTGATCTGTTGTCCTTCACAGAACACCGCTGCTTGTTTGGCAATTGTGAGTATGAACGTCGTTGAAATTAGTGACTTTGCTAGACCACTGCAAACTAGGTACCTAAGAGTTTGTAGTCACGAGTCATTGGTATAGACATGAACCTGCTCTGATGAGGTGGTAGTGACACACCTGTCTGAGCAGGTGGTTAGGGTGACATGACCTGCTGGATGAAGTGGTAGGTTGACACACCTTCTGCATGAGGTGGTAGTGACACACCTGCTGATGAGGTGGTAGGCTGACGACACATGGCTGATGAGGTGGTAAGGTGACACAACTGTCTGAAATGAGTGGTAGGTGACATGACCTGTCTGATGAGGTGGTAGGTGACATGACCTGTCTGATGAGGTGGTAGGTGACACATTTTCCTGATGAGCTGGTAGGTGACAGCACCTGTTCTGATTGAGAATGTAGTGAACAGACCTGTTCTGATGAACCATCAAACCAGATTATACGTGTGACACAAACATTGCCAGTGTGTGGACACCACAAGGAGTCCAAAAGTACAAATACTTTTGAGTTGACTGTCGGACTTCCTGATTGTTGACATATGCAGGAGTCCGTGTGACTCCCTGAAAAATTCTGCTGCTATATCTTGACTAGTTTGTTCCAGAGCACTGCTCGCGTATTACCTAATTTTTTATTTTACAATATTAAAAATTTTGAACTCAGACTGCGACCTCCCTCAATTTTGCTGCGGACATCCCTTTTTTTGAGGGCAGGAGTTTTTGTTGGACGGACACATGTGTCAGGTGTGTGACACCACATTGTCAGGTGTAATAACACCACATTCGGCAGGTTGTATACTACTATGACACCACATTTGCAGATCTTCTCTCCAACAACAACACAAAGGCACG